CCTGGCTCCTGCCATCGGATCAGCGCGGTGCGCCGGCCGCAGCGCGCCAGCCGCGGCGGCCATTGGAGGGTGAACCAACGGCAAAGGAAGACCTTTCTCTCTGTCTCTCTCTCTCACTGTCCACTCTGCCTGTCAAAAAAATAAAAAAAAAATAAAATAAAAAAGAAGATATGTCTGGAAATAATAATTAACGCAGTGAGCCTACTGGTTTGAGGGGCCAGTAGTCTTGATCATTATCTCACAGAGGTTGGGAGAGATACATGGGTGCAGAATTTCTGAAATTTCTCTCAGGGCTTTATGGCCCTTCAGGTCAGGGCAGGAGAGCAAGGTGGCTAGGTTAAAAAAAGAGAGCAGCAGAATGGAGGAAGAAGGTTTAGGAAGAGAGAGGCAATTTTGGCTGTTAACCCAGAGCTAACAAACATGCCAATGGGACCATGGAAATCAGTTTGTAGGAATTGAGGAGACCTGGTGAGGTCAACTTGACATTCAGTAAAAGGTGTGAACAAAACCCATCAAAAGATTTGATTTGCAATCCTTTATCCTGTCTGGCTTGCTCTTGATAGAACTAAGAGCCATGAAAAGCCTGGGATGGGGGGCAGTGCAACAGCATAGTGATAAAGCCACCACCTGCAGTGCTGGCATCCCATATGGGCAGCAGTTTGAGTTCTGGCTGCTCCACTTCTCATCCTTCTCTCTGCTATGGCCTGGGAAAACAGTGGAAGATGGCCCAAGTCCTTGGGTCTCTGCACCTGTGTGGGATACCTGGAAGAAGCTCCTGGCTCCTGGCATTGGATTGGTGCAGCTCTGCCCCTTTCAGCCAACTGGGGAATAAACCAGCAGATGGAAGGCCTCTCTCTCTCTCTCTCTCTGCCTCTCCTTCTCTCTCTGTATAACTTGAACTTTTAAGTAAATAAATAAATCTTTTTTAAAAAAATCGTGAGGTAGGTGACATGTTTTTCATAAACTTTGCGATCAGGATGGAATTGCCTGTCGAGTTGGGGGTTCAGGGCCGGAGGATGATGGCATAGAGACAGCCCTTTTCCAAGCTCGACTTTGCTTCTCCGGGAGGAGGGTGGTAGAGAGGGTCATTGATAAGGCAGGGCGAGTAGACATGGATAAGGGCTGGTTCTGAGATAAAGGTAAGCAGATGCTTAGAATTTCTGGGTGGGAGGGGGAGGTAGAGTGAGTGGGACCATGAGAGCTGGAGCAGCAAACATAGAAGAAAGGGGTTTTGGCTTTTAGTGAGAGCTTTGGAAGTTAGAAAGCTTGAGCCAGAGAACATGAGGTATGAAGAGAGGGTTTAGAGCTCAGATAGGTGAAAGCCTGAACATAAGGATTTTCTTCCATTTACTAAATGGTCACAGAAGTGGTAGAAAACCTGAATGGCAGGATCAAATGTGCCATTAAGCTGCCATCTGGACTGGTTGTTGATTCGAAGGCAACTGAGAGGAGAGCTGGATGGAACACAGGATGAGGAAGTTCCCATGGTGACTCCTGGAGTCGGACTGGCGGATATCAGGCATCCCCAAGATCACGACCATCCGATGGGGAGAGTGTGGGAATAGAGAATGGGGGTAGTCACCCACACACCCACTGGAGCCTGAGACCTAAAGCCCGTGGAAGGCATAGAGCCCATGGAGCGGTGCACAGCCCATGGAGAGGCATACAGCAAATGGAGAGGCATAAAGCCAATGGAAGGTATAGAGCCCGTGTAAAGGCATACAGCCCAGGAACAAGCATACAGCCCATGGAAGGCGTAGAACCCATAGAAGGCGTAAAGCCCATGGGAGGTGTAGAGCCCATGGAAGGCATTGAGCTTGTTGTCAGAAGTCCAAGATCCCAAAGGACCTCACATCCCCAAGGGGAGAGCGAGGTCAATGGAAGAGCCTGGACCCGGGAAAAGGTTTATGGTCAGGTGGGGGAAACCGACAGTCTGCCTCCCTGTACACCAGAGAACAGAACCAACAATGTTTTTACCTTTCTATTTCTTTTCTGCTTCTCCTCCTCCTCCTCCTCCTCTTCCTGCTCATCCTTCTCCTGCTTGTCTGACTATAAATTTCCAGTGATTTGTCTTCTAAGTCAGATACTCTTTCTTCTGCCTCATCAAGTCTGTTCTTAAGGCTTTCCACTGTATTTCTATTTGTTCTATTGAATACTTCATTCCCAATATTTCATTATGATTTCTCTTTAAATCTCAATTTTGTGGGAAAAATGTTCATTCATGGCATGTACGATTTCTTTAGTTCATGAATTTGCTTCTGATTATTTCTAAGGAATGCTATGATCAGATTTTGGATTCCATTTCTGGTATCTCGTCAATCATTAATATTCACATTCTGTTACTGAATTGTGTTTCTTTGGGGGCTTTGTGTTGTCTTCTTATTCTTGTTCTTGAATTGCTGCATTTATTATCAAGCATCTGTGGGGATACGTGTGGTTGTCACTGTTGTTTTCCCTGTGATGGCTTTATCTTTGAACTGTGCCTCTGTGTTTTAGTGGAGTGTCTGCTCTCTCAGTGAATACCCAGAGGTGTGTGCTGGGTGTGGTCCTGGAGCTCTGCTCAGTGCTGCAGGGTGAAGGGACTGTCCAAGGTGAGACCCACATTTGGCGTGGTAAATCTCTCTTTTTTTTTATTTTTCAATCAAAGGGGAGGTGTGTCTGCTAGGTAGGTGTATTCTCATGCTTACCTCCTTCCCTCAAAGGATACCAATTCCTAGACGCTAGCCTTAGTGGGTACAATATTCATCTCCGCAGCCATAAGAACAGCACAAAGGAACTGTGCAGTCCTTGGTGTGATCATTGATCCTGCAGCAATGACTGTCACTAGGGAGTGCCGTGTAACTGCTCTGAGGTAACCAGACCCACACCTATCATAGGACATGGGACCAGTGGACAGTGGTCATGGCCTCATTGGGTCCTAATTTTTGCTGCACCGGGCAACACAGTGAGCTGATACAGTGATGAAGTCACCTCTTGATGGCGTGAATAAGGTAACAGCTTGCAGCTGACACACTGTGAGGTTGGAGCACCATCTTTCAGGTTGCAACATAGATCATACACTTGCTGTTCCCTTTCAATCCTGAGGATGCATTTGGGGAAATCTCTGCTTCCCTCCAGTGAAGTTTTAGCCCTTATGAATCCAGAGGGCCTGGATCTAGGGGGCAGGTGCCACCTCCAGGAGACATGGTTTTGACCTCTTTATCTCTTTTGGCTACTTGTGCTATGGGGTCCACAAGCAAAGAAAAAGAGCTATTCACTCTGGTGACGGATGCTCACTGTGTGAGCACTGCCACACAGTGGGGACAGAGACAAGGAAATTCATCACAGGTAATGCTGGGGGCACCAGGCATTACTAATTCCAGTTTTTGTTGTAATTGGGTAGGGAGAACAGCTACAGTCTACCTGGACAACCAGACATGACGCCCACTAAACCACCTCGTGTCAGTTTCTTTAGAAATTGTGGCCCAGCAGTTGCAGTGACCAGAGAAAGACAGGTAGATGGACCAGAGCCATGCGCAAGTCCATGATTCAGTGCCAGGTCTGGGTATCTGCTGACAGAGAGGTGCTCCTACACTCAAGTCAGTGTGGGTGGGGATTGCTGGTGGCTCTCAGTGTCCACCTGCACTGCTACCAGAAGTCTCCCAGCTCACAGGAATCACCTCATCTGGGTGGCTCTACCCACTCTGCACCCTCTCCTGACTGCTGGGCATCCAGCTCTAGTGAGGTCTGATGTATGGACATGAAGCTTGCGCCACCTCCCCTCTGGTACCAACTGCACTGGGAAGCTTCGTTTGGGGTCAGAATTTCACTGGCAGGCAACACGTGGGCTTCACTGCTTCTACCAGCATGTCCTACCTGCCTGAGTACCTAGAGATCTCCCCGAGAGACTTTCATGGAATTTCCTTGTGCAAGAATTCCTGATTTATATCCCACTTAGCACGCAATCTCAGGTGGTTCCACTCAACCGTAGACTTCTTCAGGATGATTGTTACCTAGGTGGCTGTTGTGCCCCGATCCTCTGATGTGGTTATGGGGGAAAAGAGAGAAGACAACTAGCATTGCAACATCTGTGCAAAATTCAAAAGGCGTTTAGCACGTTGGTTGCAGGTGAACTACAGATTCACAGTGCACCACAGCAACCTTGAGCATTACATGAGAGATGTTTTCAAGGATGTTTTAGGGAGGTTCGGAACAGTCTTGGATTGGGCCCCATCTAGAGTAAACCAGAGAGAGTTGTTTTATGAGAAGTAGTTTATTTGGAAAATGATCCCAAAAATCATGTAAGGAACCAAGGAAATGAGCAGGGGAGGCATGGAAGCCAAAACAGAGTGAGAGAGTGAGAAGAGGACTCCTGGATGTGGCTGGGCTTCATCCCACCAAGGACACTGGAGACTGGCACAGATGTCCCCACTGGGGAAGCAGTCAGTGAGGACCACTTGTGCTCACCACCTCCTGCCCTGGGAGATCACTGTCCTCAGAGGCTCTGACTCTCCTGCCCAGGGCTCACGCCTTCCTCCAGAGAGTCCTCGTGCAGAGAGTGGAGGAGCCTGCTCGAAGCAAGCGTCCTCCCAGGTTGTGATGAGAGTGCAGAGGGAGTAGAGGTAGCACTCGGAAATCACCTGCAGCTTCTGCTCTTCCTCACAGAATAACTCAGACAAACTGCCAGATAAAGATGGACGTTCCATACAGAGAAATAATGAGCATAATGCACTTGGATTTGTATGCTCGGGAAAATTCAGATTTATTCAAGATGTGAGAATATCTTCATAAGAGAAAACATGGCACAGAGCAAAATTTTCCATTGCAGAGACATGATAGTGGCCAGATTTCAGAGGAGTTTTCTTTAGGAGAGAGAAAGTACATGGTGGGGTTAGGGTGTGACATATTTGGAGAACAAAATTCCCTGATAAAATTTCAATAGAAATGAGGGTTCACAATTGGGCCCTCACAATACAGCTCATAGATTGACTACATCAAGAGTATTAGTTCATGAAGAACAGGTGAGTGGAGGTGAAAGGCTCAGCAGCAAGAACCACTAGAGCAGCAGGGGCGGCAGCAGGTGGACACACAGCAGCTGGGGCGGCAGCACTGAGTTCTACAGCAGGTGGTCTGGCAGCAGATGGGCCTGCAGCAGCTGGAGATGCAGCAGGTGGGGCGGCAGCAAGTGGGGCGGCAGCAGCTGGAGATGCAGCAGGAGGGTCTGCAGCAGGTGGGCTGGCAGCACACAGACTGGCAGCACTGGGGCTTGCAGCAGCTGGAGATGCAACAGCTGGGGCGACAACAGGTGGTTCTGCAGCAGGTGGTCTGGCAACAGGTGGGCCTGCAGCAGCTGGAGATACAGCAGGTGGGGCGGCAGCAGGAGGGCTGGCAGCACTGGGGCCTGCAGCAGCTGGAGATGCAGCAGGTAGGGCGACAACAGGTGGTTCTGCAGCAGGTGGTCTGGCAACAGGTGGGCCTGCAGCAGCTGGAGATACAGCAGGTGGGGCGGCAGCAGGAGGGCTGGCAGCACTGGGGCCTGCAGCAGCTGGAGATGCAGCAGGTAGGGCGACAACAGGTGGTTCTGCAGCAGGTGGTCTGGCAACAGGTGGGGCGGCAGCAGCTGGGCTGGCAGCACTGGGGCCTGCAGCAGCTGGAGGTGCAGCAGGTGGGGTGGCAGCAGGCGGGCTGGCAGCAGCTGGGGCGGCAGCAGGACTCCTCCTGGCAGAAGTCTTGGCCACAGCCCTGCTCAGAGCAGACGGAGCCACAACAGGAGTTGACCATGGTGTCAGAGGGTGGAGGTTGCTGTGGGTTTACAGACGGTGGGTTTGTGAGGTGTGGGTGTCTCCCTGACCCAGCTCCCCTTTTATACCCTATTGAGGGGCTGCTGGCATCAGGTGCAGTGCTCTTTCCTTGTTTTTGTTTGTTCCAATGAATAGGTGATTATCAAATTAGGTAAGTGTGTTTTCCTGCCTGAAATGTTCAAACTAGGTGGGAAACATTATTTCCCTTTCCTGGAGTGCTAGGACTCATGGGTCAGCTCTTCCTGAATCGCCTGCCATGAGTCGTTATTGTTGAGTTTCTCAAGGAAAGCTGTCATGTGACACTCGTCTTCTTGGTGCTGTCTGCCTCTGTGTGGTCGTGCACAGCACATCATGTGGACTCTGGGTTGCAAGGATGCTTCTAGGTCCCTATCTTCGTTTTGCCAATCCAGGCTGATAGAATTCCATTACAGAGTGATAACAGGTCCATTATTTGTAAGATGGGCAGAAAACAAACTCTGAAAAAGACCCTGGGCATGAAGAGTAAAGGGCTTCCAGGACACATCCCTTCCCTCTGTGGAACACGACCCAGTGTGTAGACTTTTCATAGTCAGAAAGTAGAATTGATTCCTGACATCAGGATCATACACATAATTTATGTCAACTCTACCTAGATTGTACCTCTATTTTTACCCAGAAGAGTGTAATTTCTTTCCTCATGTACTTCTTTTGAATCTTTTTTTGGCTCAGAGTGCCATGATAAAGGAATTCAGTTGAGTAAATGTAAAGATATTTGAAGGAAGTGACTCCAATTGATGTTTGCAAACATATTCAGGAACTTGCAGCTACAGCCATCTATTCAGGGGGAAGTGGAATATCCATGTTACTGAAGGTTATTTGATACCAACTTTGAGTTGATATTGACAGTTGGATACTCCACATGTCTGCATGAGAATTTGGAGGTGGTCATCATAATGTTCATGGAATATTGGCTCATTCTGTCTACTGAGTTCATAGACTCACCTGGCGTTCATCTACCCGATTGTCAAATGTAAGAATCCAACACTTGCATTCATTCAGCTAAGAAGAAAGAGCTGTTGTCATCATGAAATCTGAGTAGAATCCCTGGAAATTGCCTTTTCCACCTCTCCCTCCACCAGGCAAGCTAATAACTAATATATGAGGTTGCCTTCCAACCTGAAAACTGGCAGCGGATTAGAATTCCATCATATCCCCACTCCTCCACTACCTCAGTCCTCATGGAAACTCAGCAGATCCTGACAGATGGCAGTGACAAACACTGACTACGTCAAATAAGAGACCCAGTTGTAGCTGATGTGGTGGATGTAGAACCCTTGCTTACAGTAGATTGATACAGTTTCTCATCTGGCACATGTGTCAGTTGAATTGGCAAGGGGATCCTTTACATTTCCAGGAAGGAGAGGCAGAAATACGTTATATTCACAAGGAACATACAGCAGTTTAAGTTCACTGTCTGAACCCAGGCTGCCCTTGTCACAATACAGTTCACAGGGATGTAGACTGGGACACGCTTCAGAACATCATGTTGAGGATCTTATGTCAATCAGACCTGATAAGCAAGAAATGTGAATGCCATGGACACCTCAGTAGGATACCTGTGCCCCAGGAGATGGAAGATAAATCTGACAAATATTGCAGGGCTGCCATGTTGGTACTGTTTTTAAAAGTCCCGAGTCTTGCCTAAATATCAGCTGCTGGATACCTAACCTGCCAACAGGAGATCAACACGAAGCATCCAATCAGATCCAATTCCTTAGGAGATAAGTGAGGCACCTGTTTCTGATTGAGGTTGATATAGTCTCCATATGAATTTGCCTATTCTGCTGATAGTTCCTCAAACAGCCACATTATGAAGGGTCAAGAGTGTTGATCTAGCAGCATGAAATCCTAGATGAGATCTTGTAGATCCCATACACAATGGAGGATGTGTGACAGTGGGTATTGGTCATGGAGTCCACAGTTCCAAATACTTGCTGCACCATCCAGACCCAGTTGAGCTGATAGCATGAAGCAGCTGCTTCCTGAAGTCACAGCTGAGGTGACAGCTTGGAGCTGGCATCTGTGAGGGTGGAGCACTCTTTTCCAGGATGCAGTACATACTTTGAGCTAATGCCCGTCATGTAGTGCTGTGTCAGATTCTCCATATTCAAACCCAGGGTGGAAGGGCAGAGCTGCCTCCCCCACCTTCGTTCCCTGTGATCCATGTGGGGGAATCTGTGTTTCCCGCCAGTGACACTTTAGTCTCTGTGGATCTAGGGGAAGAGGGGAGGAGCCACCTGTGGGGAACATAAGGGTCCCCTTAGAATGAAGCCTGAGTGTCTCTTGCTAGGGGATAAGCAGGCGAAGACAGGTGTTCACTCTGGCTGGTGACTCCAGCTGCATGAGGCAACTGGAGCACTGCCACATGGGGCAGGGAGGAAGAAACGCATCCCTTTGGTCACCCATGGGAGCACCACGGCACTTCTTCCATTTGCTCCTGTAAATGGGCAAGGGTGACAACTACAGTCTCATAAGGACACAGCAACCAAGGGGTCTAGATTCTCGGCCAATTACTCCACACAGTTCACCTAGAGCAGCAGAAGTGATGCCCACTAACCTGCTTCTTGCACATTTCTCTAGAAATTGTGAGCCTCCGGGTGGAGTGAACTTAAGAGAAGTAGATGGGCCAGAGCCCTGCCCAGGTGGATGATAGGACACCTGCCCTCTGCACCTGTCCTCTACCCTCTCACCCAGTGTGGCCCACGCCTCGTGATATCTGGCACAAGAGTACAAAGGGGCCAGCACCGTGGCTCAATAGGCTAATCCTCTGCCTGCGGTGCCAACACACTGGGTTCTATCCCCAGTCGGGGCACCAGATTCTGTCCCGGTTGCTCCTCTTCCAGTCCAGCTCTCTGCTGTGCCCGGGAGTGCAGTGGAGGATGGCCCAAGTCCTTGGGCCCTGCACCCGCATGGGAGACCAGGATAAGTACCTGGCTCCTGGCTTCGGATCAGCGCGATGCGCTGGCCGCAGCACACCAGCCGCAGCGGCCATTGGAGGGTGAACCAACGGAAAAGGAAGACCTTTCTCTCTGTTTCTCTCTCTCTCACTGTCCGCTCTGCCTGTCAAAACATAAAAAAAAAAAATTAAAATTAAAAAAAAAAGAGTACAAAGGCCCCACCACCTTGCCTGTAGGACAGACAAGCCTGTGGTTCCATTCATACTGTGTAAGCCCCAGAAGGGTCTGATGATGACAGAATTCACTGAGCACCACATGCCCTCTCTGCTTCTGCGACCGTGCCCTGCTTGCCTCAGCATCTTACAGACTTCCCCTGGGAGCACTGCGCCGGGAATCGCTTTCCCAGGAATCGCCGTATAACATGTGATCTTAACAGATCCAGCCTGGCACTGTGCTCCTTAAACTCCACCCTGTAACGCACACCTGAAACGGTACTTCCTCAAACACAGCTTCCTTGAAGACTATCACCAACTTATTGTGCCCCGTCCCTCAGCTGTGGTGATGGGAAGAAATCATTGAGGACAACTAGTGTCAAAACATCTGCGTGAAGACGTAGAGAAGGTTCAGAGGATGTACCATTCCAGCTGACAGTTCCTGAGTTCACCAGGGCACCCCGGCAACCATCCACATTGTGTGAAAATGTTTTCAGGGATGTTGATAGGGAGATTGGGAGCCCTGGGATTTCAGGCTGAGTGGCCTCCAGAAAAGACCCGGACGCAGAGATTTTACAGTAAGTAGATTTTTGGAAGAAAATCCTAAGAACTACAGGAACTGAGAAATGAGCAGAGAAGGGGGAGGGGAGGCGCAGAAGGCTCCTGGGAGCACCTGGGCCTGCAACAATGCCCCATGGGGGGAGAAGTAAGCGAGGACGTCCTCCCACCAGCTCCCTGTGCTGGGTGATCACTGCACCCAGAGGCTCTGACTCTCCTGCCCAGGACTCCCCCCTTCATCCAGAGAGTGGAGGAGCCTGCTCTAAGCAGCTGTCATCTTGTGTTGGACTGAGGAGTACTGGGGAAATAGAGGTGAGACCCTAAAATAGTTTGCCACAGTCTTCTCCTTCCATAAAGAATCACCAACATTTCTTACCCAGCTTTGAAAGAAGGAAAAAACAAAACACTGCCCTTACATTTTTACGTCTTGAAATTTCAGATTTATTTAAGATGTAAGAATATCTCCATATGAGAAAATGACAGCGATTATTTCAATTGTAATGACATGATAGTGGACAGATTTCAGAGATTCAAACTTGGGTTCCTATGGAAGAGACATGCCTACATGGGGGAGGAGGGGAGGCAATATATTTGGAGGCCAAAATCCATCAAGAGTCTGCTGGAACTGAGAGTTTATAATCAGCCTCCTATGATCCAGCTCATAGACTGACTACGTCAGAGCATTGGTTGTTGAAAAACAGACGAGTGTAAGTCAGAGTGCTCAGCAGCAAGAACCACTAGAGCAGCAGGGGCGGCAGCAGGTGGACTGGCAGCACACAGACTGGCAGCACTGGGGCCTGCAGCAGCTGGAGATGCAACAGCTGGGGCGACAGCAGGAGGGCTGGCAGCACTGGGGTCTGCAGCAGCTGGAGATGCAGCAGGTGGGGCGGCAGCAGGAGGGCTGGCAGCACTGGGGTCTGCAGCAGCTGGAGATGCAGCAGGTGGGGCGGCAGCAGGAGGGCTGGCAGCACTGGGGCCTGCAGCAGCTGGAGATGCAGCAGGTGGGGCGGCAGCAGGAGGGCTGGCAGCACTGGGGTCTGCAGCAGCTGGAGATGCAGCAGGTGGGGCGGCAGCAGGTGGGCTGGCAGCAGGCGGGCTGGCAGCAGCTGGGGCGGCAGCAGGACTCCTCCTGGCAGAAGTCTTGGCCACAGCCCTGCTCAGAGCAGACGGAGCCACA